CAGATATCAATATCATATCCCAATCACGGTGCAAAAAAGATGGCATAATTGCCGCGCTCAACGGTGGTGATAAACCACGGTTGTTCGGGCGTATTGACCTCCACTAGTTATGTCCTGTATGCGCGGCTGGTATCCTTCAGAAGAACATAGCCGAGGCACATTGCGGCACGCAGCTAAAAGCATAGCTGAGATGCATAAGACGCCAACATGCGATTGCAGCCTAGCTAGTTTACAAAAACATGAATCTCATGTAAACCCACAGGCCATAATACTTTCTACAAACTGGTAGGTGGCGCTGAAGCCGGTCGCGTCGCCGGTGGCGCCGCCTGTGGACAGCTCCAGCAACAGCCGACTGTCGGGCGACATGAGAGCAGCAGGGCGGCTGGAGCCGCACGTCCTCCGCAGCAGCTCCGGTCGGCCGTCGGCCCGGCCGTACACGGTCAGCGTGCCACCACCCCGGCACCTGCCCGCAAGGTGTCGGAGGTCACAACGGGCCGAACGGGACGCACCAGAAGTCATCAGACATCGTAGTGGCCAGGGCAGCCTCTCACTGACGCCACAACAAACGCTGGGCTACTGCATGTTGCCGGTGGTCCAAACAGCGTCCAGAGTGTAGTTGACTTACGGTTTCAGAGAAGAATTGCTCTTCAAATCAAAAAGGTCAAACTGAATCCTTATCCTTTCGTTGCCCCGTCCTTGGAATTCGTATCTGCGGAGAAAAAAATACACGACAGCGGCTTTTGTGGGACGAATACAACACTAATTAGTTGTCTTGTGAGAACAACACTGACATGCCACAAAACGTATGCGTCTAAACCGAAATCAAAACAAGCTTTACACCGACAACACAAAGTTGCAAAAATATGTGCCGTGATTGATGAGCGTGAACACTTGAACCCATCCCAAGCCGGCGGTTGCGAGCTTTTGGTTAAACGCATACAGGTAGTGCTTTACGGTTTATGGACACATTCTTTTTCGTTACAGCAGTTCTTGTCTGAAGAAGTCTCAAGACGTACGAGCATGTTGCTACTTCCCGTAGCGGATAACGCTTAACTCACTAGGAAGTCCATGCACGTCCGCAGGAGTCAAAGAGGTACAGTTCTTTATATTTACCTGCACAGAAGGTTTGGGGGATAAGGCGAAGGGTAGCCGGGACTCTGTATGACTCCCGTTCTTGAATACCCGGACAAGATCATTCGGTTGCAGTTCGTCTCTGAAAACACAACACCCAGGTTTGCCTGATGCCACTGGCACATGAGCATTGCCATTCCATGTGCACCGCATAAAGCAGCCGATAGTAACAGAGGCATAGTGTCTCAAAATCTGCTAGAGAAGTGCCGAGGAAAGAAAATGGGTAAACCCACAAAGAGCGCCAAGCTATATGCTTCTCCTACGAATCGGCACACATTGTTTTTCAATTTGGGGAACTGGGGACCCCAACTAGACAGACAACTACACCCGTGATGATTAAGCTTTTCTCAGACGCAGGATTTAAGTGATGCAGACCGCGACCTTGACTTTTATGTCACATGAGGGTTCCCCGACGGCTATCAGTGGTCCCTCCGTTATGTTCCAGATTGGCTACTCTGCACTTAAAGGGAATATTCCAAGATTGAAGATGTTTAAATAAGCATCATATATGATGAGATAAGCTCACTTGTACTATTGGTATAGTTTGCAAAAGACTGTTCTAGACAAAAAAATCACTTTTAAGTTCATATGCTCCTCAATACGCCATCGTTTGACTGCGTCATGGAGCCTTTGTATGACGTCAGAGAGGCTGCCAAATTGGCCGCACGAAATTGTCACCTAGTGGACGGGCTGACTCGCTTGTAGTACTTCAACTTCTCGAGAGGTGTCGCAAAAATGAATGTGGTATTTCCCGAACCCAAATATCGTTGTGTACGCGTTTTTGAACCATTTCTCGCACTGTTCTTACGCATCGTTTTTCCATTTACAAAATTTTCATAAACCAAATAAACTGAAACATACGACATCGCCGGATATAACATTATGCCCGACAATAACGCGTAAAATTTATCCAAACAGGAGATTCGGTTGCTGCTAGCTCCGGCCAAGACGCCAAGAAAGTAGTAACCTGGTAGATCTCAGACTTGTTTACATTTATCTGCTCGTTTCACCAGGCCCGTATATGCAAGTAGGCAAAACAAAACGGGTGGCTGAAGTGCTGACACTCGCAAGCACAGGTGGGGCTATCGATAACAGCGTGAGGTTCTTCTGGTCACGTGGACCACTTCTAAACCCTCCCCCCCCCCCCCCCAAGACCAATGCCGAAGGCCCCGGAGCGATTATGGGTGAACCGGACAATAAACATGTAGGCCCCCGCCAGCAGCATAGGCCCTCCCATAAAACGCGAAAATTCCAAGACGAATGTGGAAGGCCTACGAGCGAACAGAATGCCTTGAAAGAGGAACATATAGGCCCTCTGGTAACAGTGTATGGTCTTGCGAGCAAATCTGAAGCGCCCAATACCAACGTGGCAGTCCCCTGAGCGGTCAAGTGCGCAAAACATATCACCGACCACGATATCTTGTTGAAAGCAACCAGCTGGTGCTTTCTGTGATACTCTATCTTTTCGCTTTGGAAACGACAGGGGCAAACAAAGGCAGCAAGAAACGGATCGACCCGTATCAGTCCGTGTTATGAAAAAGGACAGATCAGGGCGGTGTTCCACTTACATACCCCGGCAGCAGTGTAAGGCCCTCCAAGCAAGTGGAAAGAGCCCGAGACCAGGGCGTGGAACCCCGTACTCCTGAACAGCCGAGAGTGCTCTTGCAGGTGTAGGCAGGAGAGTACCTCGTAAGGGATTCCGACAACGGCGTACAAGCATTCTATGCGAATGGGAAGAACCCGTGGACGGCCTCTGATCGATCAAAGTGCGCCGGCAAGCCAGCACATGGGCCCCGATACCAACATAGGGCCGCTGGACAGCATAATGTTCCCTAAAATCTTTCCAACCACCACCCTCTCAATCAATGGATAATTTTTTTTTTGTCTAGTCACGGGCCCTTCATTTTTGCCCGGTGGTCGTCTGAAGAACCAAAGCCGTCCATTGTTTGCGCATTGTGTTAAAAGCCTCCACCCGTTCGGTCGGTTATAGGCTCCCTTGGAGTTCAGGGGGTGGGACATGATCCGGTGCCCTCCCCTTGAATCCGTTACTGGATCGACGCCTGACCCGACGCAACGCCCGTAATAGACTAGGCAATGGACACTATACTTACATTACGTTTCTCATGAATTTACAATCTATGGCATAACCCTTGGCGTTTCAGGGATTTCTTTTCGCACATAAGCAGAGTGCCTAATCACGAATAGAATAAGAGCCCACGATGTTGTGCTAAATGCGCAATCTTTATTAATTTTCCAAAAATTTTAACGCTTGGGGGTTGGTATGACAGTTTTCTGATATTGTAATAGTGTTGTTACATGTAAGTGCATTGGAAATATTAATTTTTATTCGAATCACGTTGAGTTAAGATGCATCGTGCTCATGTTATAACCGTAGGTAGCAGCGAGTTTGGTGTTTTGGCAAACTATACGCAAAACAGATGAAATTCCAAACGCTGCCCATACCGGACATCTAAAAGTAATTTATATTCTTACAAGCAACTGAATCCGTTAGAGTGAGCCAAGGTGTTCACATCTGGTTGACGACACCTGTTAACGGTCATTCCTACCTCCATTAAGGCTTACCACAAGGCACCTCAGGATGCATGTAAATGGATGTCAGATTCCGATGAGTACCTGTGAACACGGGAGCGACCGCTTTTGTTCTGGCAGTAGAACCCACATCCATGAGCTCACCAGTAATTCATCCTTCAAACGATGCAATAAGCAAGATATCATCTCATGGCACCGAACATATCCGCCTGATTTACTCACATCCTTCTTATTCCCAACCCCCATAAGCACTAGCATATACGCACACAAAACATGCATTTTCTGTTTAAGTTGTGGTGGTTACGCAATATTTCAACATCGTGAAGTGCACCATTGAATGCTGAGTGATCTAGTAAACCAACTTTTTCCGAAAGCAATTATTGCGATATGGTCGTAGTGCGGTCACCGGATCTATATGCCATTTAGTGAATCTGGAACAAACCTGATGAGAATCCAAACAGCTCTTGTTCAGGTACATCTCCGTGGAACTGTGATGCTGAAATAAAGGTAATGGGGTATGATTCAGAACGGTCACCATCAAAAGGCATCAGGTCAGGTCGATACTGTGCTAAAACCGAAACTGCACTGAAGAAGCGTTCCACGCTTGCCGACGTCGGCGTTCCACTTGCACTATAAGCCTTGTTGGGCACACGGAGGCAGTCATGCCCGTAACAGGCCTCAGGCCGCTCAAGCTCGCTACAATTGAAATTCCGGCACCGTTTGTCGCACGTTGGCACATGCACACGTGTCAACATACGACAAAACTCCCCCATTACGTTGGTATTGCTCAGGGTTGTCGCTGGTCTTTTTACTGTTATTATTGTCGTTGGACTGGGAAGTCATTTCGAAGGTAGACACTAAAAAGTAGAGCATTGTTTCAAACAAATATTAGCGGTTCGCAAGAAGTGTGACCTGTTGGCTCCCTCGTGCGGAAACACATGCTTGGCATAACTCCGATGTGGACAGCACTGGTCAGGGTCTGCGTACCATATCAGCCTGGAAAGCGAGGCCATTAAACCGGTACCTGAAAACACTCGGTAGAAGATGATGTTCATTTTCCAGATTTAGATCCAACATTTTGGATAACTATTTTGCTGGATTAGTGCCCTTACTAGGCAGTGATTGCTGCGCGAACCATGGTCCCACCATCCGATCGTAAAATTCCAAGTCAGCGACGGAATTCCACGGCCTCAGCTTGACGTTCCGTTATGCTCATCACGGCCAACTCCTCTCTCTCTGACGCGGTGCCGGTGGCGCAGTGGTTAAGCCGCGCGTATGGAAAACACGAGGCATGGGGTTCGATTCCCCGTGGTGCACGCTCATCCTGCCAGAGTGAGAGGCTGTCGACGCCACATAGACTCAGCAGCTGAGAACGCCGTAAAGCTCTGGTAACCCACCTTCAGAGGTCAGAAGATCTCAGAACTGCTTTTGCCACTGGCCGCACACCATCCAAGCCAGGGGCAAGAAGCGAGTGTCTAAAGCGACTCGAACCCACCATCAAACGGCAGTTGCTCTAACAAACTGAGGTATCGGGACGGATGGCGTCATCATTTCATATCAGAGTGGATACAGTTTTTAACGCAGTACACGGTTTTTCACCCTCCATCCGTAGATCCGCAATACGATGGTCTTTGCCTAACTCCGTGACCTATAGCCTCCGCCCAAATCCATGTCCCTGCTCCAGTGTTGGATATGTCAGCAGCGCCCATCACAATGATGCACGCGGATATTGGCGCAAAAACGCCGTGCGCGTGCGCATGAGTGCGACTCACCCACAAACTCCTCCGGCACGCTGTGCTTGACGGGATCGGCCTCGAACCGGTACTGAAGCATGAAGCCCATGACCTCGTCCGACTGCGACGCATCGGCCACATGGCTCGTCACGTGCAGGAACGGTCCAGAGGAGACGAGCTCCAGCCTGCGGTCCGTCTGGCACAGCGAGCCGATCGCCTGCGACCTCTCGTTGACGCCGTCATGCACCGTCAGGCGGCTGCCGTGCAGGCATCTGGGGAAGAGGGGCAGCGTGATGAAGCTGGGGCATAATGAGGCGGCAACGACAAGGCGCCCAGAGAAGCATTGTCGACCCTAGATCAAATCCTCATCCGACATGCACTACCTGCACGGCTTGTCCAAGTAGTGCACGGTGCAGCTGCGCACGTTAGACTACGTATTGCCATTACAGGCTGCGTGCATACCAGAGTGCATCGCGCAGCAGCTGTCACTTTATTTGCCAGAGCATTTGCCAAATGTACTTTTGAGCGCGGTCCATTGGCGCGCGCATTGTGCGTGTGTGTACGCCAAAAGGTCTGACACTTGTAACTGTCCGTGTCTGCACCTATCTATTCAAGTCGGTGTATGCGTTACGGAAGGTATTGCGTCAGTCAGTGTGCCACCCATCACTAATCAGTGCGTCAGTCAGTGGATCTGTCAGCAGCTCACCCTTCACTGCGTCCGTGAGCGCGTCGCTCGCCGCGCTGTCTGTCTGCGCGCCTGTCCGTGCGGCGCTCCACTCGTTGTCCCACACGTCCGTCAGTTGTCACGTCAGTCGGCGTCAGACCAGAACAAGCGGACTCACGTGCTGTCCGCCGGCTGGAGGGCCAGCTGCCGCACGCTGAGGACCACCCGCTGCCGGCGAGAGCCGTACAGCGTGTACGAGCAGTCGCGGACCGGCGACGCCGCCGGAAACCCCTCGGAGAAGATGTGACCCGAGAGACGGTCCTCGCTCATCAGCAGCAGCTGACAGTTGGGGCCGGGCAGGCGCTGGCCACGGGTCACGAACAGCGCTGCCGGCGCCGACAACGCTTGTTAAAGATCGTTGGCGGAGACAAAAGGACGGTCACGAACAGTGCTGCACTACGCAACAAAACCGGTCGGAAACGGCGTCGGAAGACGCGACAAGACGGGGTGCCAATAGAGCTGCCTGTGGCAATGGGACGGGTCGGAGCCAACGCCACTGGGGGTGACAAGACGGGTCATGAACAGGGCTGGAGAAGACGGCAGATCTGCGGACGGCGAAACGGCGGGTCACGAACAACACGAGAAGATGAGACAGCCGGGTCACAAACAGCACGCAAAAAGAGACGGCACGGGTCACGAACAACACGTGGCGAACAACGCGCTCCGAGGCGAGGAGACAGGCAAGCATCTCCGAAAATCACTGGACAGCCAGTTGTCTAAAGATAGCCGTATCGCCAACGAAAAACATGGACATTACGTTGTCCCACGACGCATCTGAACTGACAGAAACATGCCCGTCCGGCTCGCGACCGGTGCTCAACTCACCGCGGTTCACAAACCGGTACAAGCCCGCGAAGCCGGCCCGCCGGCCAGCGTTGCCGTCGGCGGCGAACTCCACGGCGAGGAGAGGCGAGCTGCTGTACCAGGCGCGTCGGGCCGAGGTGGCGTTGTCGCAGACGACGGTGTCGGGTCGCCGGGTCAGCTGGGCACGGGCCGGCCCGGCCAGCCGGGTAAACACGGACAGGCAGCCGACCAGCGCAGGCCTGCCCCGCAGACGTTCAACTCGATCACGCACATGACAGACCGGCAACAGGTTCTAGCTTGTCTGACAGACGGCGGCCGGCCTGGACTTATCCGATAGACAGGCAACCAGTTCGGAGGTGTCCGACAGGCAGCGGCCGACGAGACATGTCCGATGACCAAACGATTGCCACGGATTTGACAGATACGTGAAGGGCTCAGACATGTCCCGCCTGAACTTATCCGACAGACAGCGACCGGCGCAGACCTGTGCGACAGACAGCGATTGGCGCAGAGCTGTCCGACAGACAGTGACCGGCGCAGATCTGTCCGACAGACAGCGACCGGCGCAGATCTGTCCGACAGACAGCGACCAGCGCAGACATGTCCGATGACCAAACAATTGCCACGGATTTGACAGACACGCGAAGGGTTCAGACATGTCCCGCCTGTGGTCTGTGGGATGTGTCTGAACTGGACGGACGGCAGGCTCGGGCATGCCCCAAAGATTGGAGGCCGGTTAAGACAAGTTCAGCAAATATGTAGACAGACTGGTCAGCAGACAGGTAGACGGATCGGCCAGCAGACAGATCGAATCAGACGTGTCCAATACACAGTGGTGTTAGTATCATATGCACATTATCAGTTAATGAGCGGACGATTGTGGAGTTCCGACACTAATCTTGTCACCTTTGAAACGAGGCGTCCAAGTCCACATTGATGAGTACCAGCTGCACCAGGTGATCCTCAGGCGCCCGGAACAGGTGTCGGACGCAGAACTTCCGGTCCGGAAATGGAGCCGGATATCCGGGGCTACTGAACACGCCCTGCGAGCCGGGCTTCGGTGGCCTCTCGTGCACCACAAGCTCACAATCTGGAGAAACCGGAGTAGAAGACTAGTTGACAGCAAAGCGCATGCCAAACAAGGACTCTCATTAGTTGTGGTATGCCGTGCGTTTTGCAATGAACTGGTCATGTTTTGAAACTTACTGGCATCTCTTATATGTTTTAATCATCAGCTCTATTTTAGGCTATACGTTCATGGTTATGTTATGCCATATAGGTTCATGTTTTCCCGATAGAGATGGAGACCGTACCGCGGACACCGACTAGTGGAGTTGCACGCGGGGCAAGGTGAAGAGAAGAGAATCTCGGTATTATTCAGCTAAGGACTGGAGCCGTGTTATAACACAGCCGTGCTGAGCCGGAAGCGATCTCGCGGGCAGCTTCAGTGGTGCGTAGCCTGCACACGACAAGCATTGTCTAGTGGGGATTCCGGCTCTGTAACAAAACTGTACTCAAACAAGTAACCACTTTTGCCTAATCTGTGACGAAGTTAATCGATACACGCAGCAAAAATGTGAATGAAGCACTTTAGTGTATAGAAGATGCAAGGGCGTTACTCAGCGATCTTCTAAAAACTTTTACAAAAGCGTCTGCACACAATTTAGGATTGAGCAATATGTTTACTCACCCCGGTCGATATGTGACCAGCTCTTAACTGCGTTGGCCGATGTCCCTATCCCCCACAGGAGCACGTACGCGGCCAACATCTGAAACAAGGACATTGCAGTTCACAAACAACGGGGGCAGCTGTCGTTCAGCGGTGTATTTCCCTTTAAGGCCGTTTCGACATCAGGTGTGTAGTGTTCGCATCACTGGTAACCATTCCCCCGACGGGCCCACACATGGTTCTTGCTAGATCGAAAACGGTCGTGCAGACGTATCAAACGTGGGGAATCGCACATGAACCGCACATGAGGATAGTGAAACAAGTGTTGTAGTTGTTCCACAAAATAAGCAATTGTCCACAGGCAATGGTAGTATAATAAATGTCCTGTTGCGTACACTGTAATTTAGTTATTCTTCATTTATGATATATTCTATTCTTATTTAGTTGTCAACTAGCCATTTTTAATTGCATTTTACGGACATCATAAATTATATATATATCACCAGTCAAGCGTCACGTTGCAATTTTCCAATTTGATAAGAAATTAGCAATCTCAGTCGAAGAGAAGGAAGCGTCCCACTTTTTGGCTTTTTAATTCCGTCACCTCTGTCAGATTTGTCAGGAAGCTCATCATCCCGGTCATACACTGAGGGAATTTTTAGAAGTCACCGCTTCAAACGGTGCTTTAAGGCGATGCTTGTTAATGGCATACCGATTTCCAGCATAGAGCTGGAAAAGCTATCTCCACATCCATCAGATGTTACACAATGACGATGAAGACACGCAGGCTGCAGCGTGTGGCACGCCCAATGCAAAAAATCTTATCTTTCAAGCGCGGATAACTTCCCTTTCTTTTATCCATATAGCACGTACATACTGCTCGCATAAAACGATCCTCATGGAACTTCTTAAGCACCGTTGCAAGAACCGTGCTGCATTGCATTTTACCAACATTTATTATGTTCCCATTACCGAGGAAGCGCAAGTGCATTTCACCGACATCGTGATAAATTAGATACTTCCAGTCAACTGTCACGTTGCGATTTTTCCTACATTAAGATAACAGTCATTGGTATTCAGGCATAAACCCAGTGTTGTTCAAACTCGGATAACGTTGTGCAATATAAACTCTTTTTGCTCTGCTTTCTTGTTGTTTTACTATCACGTGGCTCATAGTCAGGTTTCTCAGCAAGAAGAGTGAGATAACACGACAATTTTTAATCCTCCGTGATGTTATCGAGTTCCTTCCAGTCATGATAGAGCGGGGCACTGCGCCCTGTAAATGTAACGCGCTCCCTGCCCCATATCTAGGCTATTATATCTCTTGGTCTAACCTGAGATTGCTAGCTGATTTGAACTCGTGCTGTAACCATTGCGCCCTTTTTGTGAGCACCTGGTGCGGACGGTGGATAAGGGCAACTTTTGAGGGCTAAATGGAGTTTTTTTTAGTAAAACTGAGGAGTCTTCTTGCGCTTTACCTCCAAGCCTCGTTGTCCAAATTCATTCGCTAACACAAGACAGGGGCTTTGCTAGTTTTGGCTTGGAAAGAAAATGTAAGAAATCTGGCGCACGTCTCTTCAAATGATTATCATCCGCATTTGGCCACAGGTGGGGTAATGCGCTTCGTTGGCAAGGGCCACTTTGCCCCTAGGAGGGGGGGGGGGGGGAAGGGCCACTCTGCCCCGTGAAGCGATCGAGTATGTCGGACAAGAAGTTATCACTTTTTAACTCTGTGAAGTAGCCCCGCACTAGCGCAAGCATGATCAGATCATGCAAATGTATGGCTGGTTATATTCATGAGCATTATAAGGTTTATACTGCAATCGTAATGTTATAGCTGCCGGCCAGTGCTTCTGAAAGGAAGTTACTTGCAATAACGGTAGTATGCGTATGATTTGCATCAGGAAGGACGGAGTAGGATTGAGACGGTCACCAGGATCCAAGGGAGGTCAATCGCAGAACAGGAGCTGTATCCGCCCACAGAAAATCGTCCCAGTGATTCACACCGAAAGTTAAAGGGAGTGTTCCACATTTGAAGATATTCAGATAAGCATCCCATATGATGGAAAAAGCTTACTTGTAATGATTGGTAAACTTTCAAGGCTCAGAAACGACCCTAAGTAGCAAAATTTCAATGCTTGCAAAAATTCGCTCTGGCGTCGTGGAATCGTTCTGTGACGACAGCAATACTTGGCGGCATCTGGAAGCCAGTCCTAAAGAGTACCCCAAAAGGCACGAAAACTGACGCCAACCGGCCATTCTCGTCGTGGACGCTGTGTTGGGTGGCGGATTAGTGAATGGCTTGCTTGTGGATGTTTTGCCTTGGTACTGATCGTAAGAGAAGCCTTGGCGGGCCGTTTGACATACGCAACGTAGCGATCGCCACCTTTTATGGCAGATTATTAATATCAAAGTACGATATGCTGTGAAGACCGTCATAAAGCGTCATGAATCTCTCACCGAAACCTGCTAATGACTATTGAGGATGTCGATACCGTATTGTCGACTTATCCTTCCTGCAGTGCTGTAGTTTTGACATTGATATCATAAGATGTGCACAGTAGTTACTTTCTTTGTTACTTGTAACTGGAAATGCAATTGCATGCAAAAACGAATAAATCTGTAGCATTACTATGCATTGATTGCCAAGGCATTGTTATTGCTTTGGCAAGGACGGTAGGGTTGAGCTAACAAGGACGCTTTTCTTTCTTAGGATTATGTTTGCAATTACTAGTTAACCCTGAAATAATAATTGTGGCGCAACAGCATTCTCGCTGGTGATAGTTCTTTAGCATTGCTAAATCAGTTGTTACCAGTCATTCATAACTGATACGGTTTTTGGGCCGCAAACCCTACAGCTTTCATAATAGATTCCATCGTGAAAAGGTGGGCCAAGCATGCATTCTTGTATTAATTCCGCATCTGACATACGACTGACAAAACACACATGATACGATATACAAATCACTTTAAGCAAAGCACGCAACCAATAAGTGACATCACTTACTCAGCCTGTTTTGGGAATCCACAAAACATAGGTGACAAAGATGCAGACACGTCTTCTGGCTCCACGGCCATGCGGCATGATGCAGCCGTCAGGCTGCTCCACTCAAAAATATTGTTCACACAAGTAATAACACATGTAAAACAAGAAGATATTGCCTGTAAGAAAATCACACCGCAGACCTCCTGTCCTTGCACAGTGCTGGAGACATGACAGGTGCATGTAACTATGGTTTGATGGGCGAAATGCATGAAAGTGATGAAGCTACCAGTGCACACAAGGCTCATGATAAAAATATTATTACGTGCCATCCAAGAAACCGACAGCAATACTTCACCACCGTTCTCAACACCCAGCATTTCATACAAGTTGCAACGACTATGACATCGGTGACTCCAAGGCAATGCTTGCCTGCAAACATCAAACGAGTGCCGCAGAACCCGAAAGTGCTCAAGCTTACGTTCGTGACACGCATTCAGCAACAAATCATACTGACAGCCAATCACCTCCCGCAGATTGTATCATACGTGCCGCATCATCGCTCTCGCGAATGTAGCAGCGGCCATGCTGACCATGAGCAGAAAACAGCCTGTAATATAACGACAATTGCATGACGTTTCTGTGACGACGTCGATGTCAAGGTGACTTTGAAGTAGTCTCCTAATAAACATTTTCGCACTTTTGAGGCCGTATAATTCAGGAACCAGAGGGTTTGAGCTTAAAAATGGCATGGCTGTGAACTGCATCAAAAGGTCCTCAAGATGGCTATTTCAGTTCAAAACACCGTATAAAGGTGGAGCATTCCCTTTAATGAGTGCCTGAACGCCGTCCTCTATATTTTGCATTCTTGGATTTTGGCTAGCATTGAAAGCTGATATGACCTTTCTTCTGGTTTATGTCCATCGCCAAAGTATTTTTAAGATTTGGGGTAAGCCGCCGGTTGCCGGCAAATTACCGTTCAATTTTGATTTCTTCTTGGATTTGAGCCCTTGAACATCGCGCTCAGAGAAAAATGTGAGAAAAATGAAGAGAACTTTGCAATAGCTTGTACAAAAAGTTGACGGCATTCCACAACCCGTTTCACTTTTTTACCACACCCGAAAGTTCAGGTCTACATCACTCTCAGGGATCCCAGTTTGGCGTTTGGGAGTGATGCTCAGTTATCCCACTGCCCTTTCCTCCCTCCCAATGGCAATGCTCTGGCTACTGGGAAACTTACCATGCTACAACCTTCACTTATGTGCGTCACTGCTAGTAAGAGGCAATTCGTTGAAGGCGGTTTTTAATCGAGAAACTCATAACGGTGGGATTAAACGGTAGTTCATCTCCAACGCCAGCAAGCGGCGGCGCTGTACGAGGTGGTCACCATTTTTGGCACCATCTTCAACCGTGTGGCTGCCCCGGAAAAGGCTCTCAGAGGTCTCAGCTTACCGGACTGTGGCCGTCGAATTGCGGCCGAAGAAGAAAACTGGTATTACCGATGAATGCGGCCGCGTCTGATCCAGCCGTTGGTGAAAAGTACAAAAGGTAGCATACGCTCTGGGTGCACTTTGCACTATACTTTCACTTCTTTTTGTACTTCGCTTCACTTCATTTTGCAGGTGCACTTTCAAGACTTCCGACATCAGAACAAAGAGTTGTCAAAATATCTTGCGCGTCACCGCTTAAAAGCAGTGTTCACATTTCTACGGGCTTTTCAACTACAGTAGCCATCTTGAAGACCATTCGGTGCGGTTCACAGCCATGCCGTTCTTAAAACCTGAACCATCCTAGTTTCTTAGCTTTACACCCGCGAAAATGGGGAGATTCCTTCGAGGAGAATAAGGTCGCCTTGCCATCCATGACACGATAATAACGTCATCCATAACCAAGACCAAGACAAAGAAAGTCGAATGGTTCATATCTGGCGTTCGTGAGCACGATTTCCAGATATAACGATACTCAGTTGGGTCTGAATAAATGTCGTGAAGGTACGATGACGTAAGGAGACAATGACGTATCAAGGAGTATATTAACCAAACAGAGAACTTGTGTTGTCAATAAAAGTATACAAATAGTTGTAAGTGAGCATGCTTCATCATACCTGGTGCTTGCTTCTATATCTTTAAATGTGGACCATTCCCTTTAACGTCTGGATTACCCTTCAATAGCGGGTGGCAATCAAGAACGTCACGAAGAAGCAGCACAACCGCGTATTGCTTTATGCCAATGACGTGAGTGACTCATGCAACACATTTTCCATGTCAGAGGGCGCGAATTTCAGGGTTATTCTTGCGCCAGAACTCAAAGCTATCATGTCGCCGTGGCATCATAACTGTACCAGTTTTAGCAAATACATGGCAAATATTCGTTAAATGACGCATGATGATTGCTGGTAAATAAACTCGTCCCTACATGACCCAGTCTTGTACTTTGCGCTTTGGTCAGTGGGCAGTGCCAGGCGCCCAGTCCGGGGAGGCGTCATCCGTATCGTTTAAAACTATCTGGAAGTGGCAACATCGAGCTTGCGTGAGAATAGAAGTGGTTTGGAAGCAAAGCCTGCATGACGTCATGCACACCATATTTGATCACGCCAGTGGCACGGAAGCCTCTTAAGCCAGCCAGCTGACTGCTACATAACCCATTTGTTTGAATGGTGACTATGTTTTGGTGGCGTGCGGCTGACGCTTCGCGGTTTGGGCTCGGAATAAATGGTCCACGGTTTTACCATGCAAACCCTATTCTGGAAGGGCGATTGAATCTCGGAACAGTTTAACCTCATCAGAATGTTATATTTTTCCGTGGGGCATACATAACTAGGGGTTAAACGCCATGCGGCGTTTGTAGCGCGTCGCGTATTGCGGTTGGTAGGCGTTTCATATCCATGGGGGTGCGATCGGTTGCCATGACTACGCCTAGTACGAGAGATCTCCTGTGCAGTTTGTTTTGAAGGATTGGCAGCATTTAAAATGCTCGACCTGTGAATACTTTATTATGCATATGCGTACACGCCCTGAAG